ATAAAAGATGTAAATTTTCTTTAAAAATTAATTTTTCCAAAGGATAACAAAAAAACCAAAATGAAAAACTGACAAAGATTGACTTGGAAAATTGCTTTTGAAGAAAATAAAATGAGAATTTTCCTTCATCTGTCCACCCCCTCAGCTACTTTTTTATTCATCCAATATATAGAGAGACAGAAAACTTTACAGCTAGCATCACTCCACAACACCTATGCTTGCTCCTGCAGCCTCATGTTCCCGGACATCCTCAAACACCAGGTTTTACCACTGGGAATGACAACCACTAGGTACAAAGAAACAAATGAGCTCTCCACAGAGAGCCAAGACGGGGGCAGCAGAGGCCTTATCTTCCATAATTCCATAATTCTCATATGACCATTTTACAGCAAAATGAATTATGCCTGAATATATTCGGGTGGCTTTATCAGTGAGAGAGCATTTACTCCTTGCTGTAATACATAAGTAGTGCCACTTTAAATACCAGACAGATCTCTTGACCCAAGCACATAAAGAGAAAGGCCAAGATTTGCTCAGATTTGCTCCCATGGGTCTGTTGTCTCAATCATCCCTTCCTGTTCTGGTGCAGCTCCACCCAAGCACCACTCCCACATCTGCAGAAAGCTACATCATGTTAGTTGCTGGAACTAGGGCCTAGTTTACACAGCCAAGTATTTAGACATAGCATGCTTTTAAAATGGCAGAAAACAGGAGATAATTCAGTGTATATTGACAATGTCGGAAAAGAGGAAATAACTAATATTCTTTGCAATATATGTAAATTTAAGTATCTATGTAGTATATGATCCCTACTTAACAATGTCAGGAAAATGAACAGGACATGAAAATGGTGTTGATTTCCATGGAAATTGACAGAAAAGCTAAATATCAAACAAAGCTAAGATGGTTTCAATACTTATTTTATGGAACAATAAATCACACCAAAAAATCTCAACCCAAATCAATATTTGTATTATAGTGATCTTTCTAATGGCATGGCTAAAATTTAAACTTCAATGGATGTCATTCAAACCGAAAAAAGAGGCAATATTAAATTTTAAATACTTAACTGCAATATTCTAAAAATAGGAAATGATCATGTAAAAGCAATACTATGAAAATGGTTTATGATTCTTTTTTTAAAATCCCTCAGTGCAATTGCAAAAGCTTCTGCCAAATTACTAACAGCAGCAGGGAGCATATAATGTTATGATGCACTCAGTTTGTCAGGAGCCTGAATACCTGTGCTTTTGTCTATGGTCAAACTGATGGGCTACCACTGAGCTTATGCACAATCTTTTCCATTCCAAAAGCTAGTAGTAATGACAGAATTTTGCATGCTATTGCAGAATGAATTAAAATTGGCCAGTCAGACTTGTAACATACAACTGCACACATTTCTTGGAGCCTGAAGTTTGCTGAGATTTTCTTAACTATCAGTAAAGGTGAGGAATTGAGAAATGAAGGAAATGCCTATTAAGGAAGGATCACCAAAGAGTAATGAGGCAGGCACATTCAGCAAAGGACAGAAAAACTGATGTCTCTGTAAGGAAAGATGTAAGTAGTTTATTTATCTTTGAAGATGTCATCTGGGCAAAGTATGGAATTCAGAAAAGATTCAGGCAGCAGAGAACGTTATTTTTGGAGGGCAGAAATACCTAGAGAACGTTATTTTTGGAGGGCAGAAATACCTACTAGTGAAACAGATTTCCGAGGTAAAACTTTCCATTTAAAAAATGTTGTCAAAATGTTGGGAGGGTAGCAGAGAGTCATAGGGACAGACACATACTGTTAATCTTTACTGTGGCAACAAAAATGAGAGCTTCTCAGACTGGAAGAACAGGGAAGGCAGAAGACACTGGAAAATATTTTGCAAGTTCTTCCTTAGTATTTGCCACTCTGGGAGGATCTAAGGGGGCTCTGAAGCCAGGTGGCTCATCCCACTCACCTCTGATAGAGCAACACAGCTCTGTCCTGGGCTAAGGCAAGGAAGCTCAGAGGCTTGTACAGCTCAGTATGGCAAATCTCCCCTGAGAAAGCCTGGCAGTAAGTGTAGGGCTTGTAGGGCTTCCTCCAGAGGACAAGCAGATTTTCACATTTTATAAATGATGGAGGGAGGGATGGAGGGATTAAGAGATAGAGGGAGGGAGGAAGGGAGGGAGGAAGGAAGACTTGTCAGACCAAACAAATGTGCCATTTGTAGATGTGCTGGCCAATACAACCTGGTACCTTTCTTATCAGCTGTTATGATGAGCTGTTTGCTCATCAGCAACTTCTTTTGAACTGCTTACTTCAAAACAGATTTACCATGGATATTTACTGGAGATACTGACCATGTCAAAGCATATTTCCCAAGGTGGTAATCAGACCAGGCACAGGTATCATCAGTCCATGAAATTTTCCCTCCATGTGGGTTTAATTGCTAAGGAATGGTGAAAGCACAACTACTTTTTGTTCAAGCAAAGCTCCTTGAGAATTCACTGACAAAGCTATTTTTCAGTGAAAATTTAGGGGGTTGAATAATGTATGCTTTACTGCAGAAAACATCTGTATGGATTCTTGATACCCATAAACCCATAAACCACAGTCTCTTTGCTATGATTAAAAAATATATATGTTTTTTTTCATTTTAGCCAATTGCTTTCCAGTTACCAAAACTCAAAATGGTTTTGGTTGGTTTGTAAGAAGTGAAAAATTTCCACTGAAGAAAACTATTCCCCTGATGTTTCTCTCTGACTGCAATGAAGTCAATACAGTGCTGCAGCCCAGGTGTTGAGGATCTTTCTGGAAGATCAGTGTGCAGAGCTGTCACATATGGGTTTCACATGGCAGCAGAACTGGTCTCAAAATTCTTAACAAGCCAGCACAAAAAAAAAAGTTAGGAATGTTTTGTGGTGAATTTTTTTCCATATATGACTTCAGCCACAGTTTTGGCTCTCAGCCATTCAAAACAAAAAAATCCTTTCAAATTGAGAGTGAACTTTGAAAGATACATGAGTGAGAAAGACTGCACACAAATAAAAGCACCCTATAGAGCTGCTATGTAATATTAAGTAATAAGAAATTACTCTTTTTTTAGATTTTTACAGCACTCATACTTTTCTAAGTTCATTATGTATATATTTTTAATTGGGGCCTAAAGGACATATTTTTAATAACTTATAACACTCCTCTTAGAAAAATATTATGCCAATGCATAGCTCAAAATACCCTTCTCCAAAATAAGGAGTATCAGAAGAGTAAACCCCATCATCTACTGGGGAAGAAAATTAACTTTGAATGTAATTTGCTTAGCTGTAAGAAAATATCATTGAGTTGGTATGTAGATATGCTCCATTACTTCTTTTTTTTAAATAATAATCTTAAAGCATACACTTACTTAACAGAGAACAGTTTAAGGCAGATTTATGCTGCCATGAAATGGCAGTAGAGTCTTACTCTTTGCCTTAAGTTGGCAAGCATTTGACATTTTTACATAATCCAACATCTGCTGGAAGATGTGGGATGTTTCTGGAAAATACCTGACCTTTTTATATTTTTTTTTATTATTATTACTGGAAAAACACTACAGGAAGTACTGATTCTGGCCTGTAAAGTATAAATATCTTTTTTTTTTTTCACTTCTGCAGAGCCAATATTTGGAGTGTAAAAACTGTTTTTTTTTTTTATCTGAACTCAGCACTGCAGGAAAATCTAGTACAGTCTTTTTTTTTTTT